ATTTTAATAAAAGATGAGTAAAATGATCAAGTAGAAGCAAGTTGATATTAATGTTAAAAGGGTGACCCAACAGCAGAGCTATACACCAACATCCAGAGCAAGCCAGAGTCTATGTTCGTTGAGTTTCTTTGGTCAATGAGAACTGCTACAGAAGGCTAATTTCATGCTCCCAAACTTTAGTGAGTGAAATTGGGCATTTTATGTCACATCGAGGATTGAGGTACCTGTCATGAAGTCTAGTCAATGATGAAAGTGACTGACAGGGGCTAGCAAAGTTTCTGTTAGTGGACTGGGATATAGGGTAGGAAGTTGGAATGTGGATGTTTATTTGAAGGTATGCCTGCTCACTCTTATTGGCCTGGTGCAGAAAGATGAAGAGCCAACTCACATCAGATGACATATGAGTACCAGAACTAATACCAGAACAGGAGGTCTTAGAGATGCTATAGAGCAAGATGAATTTTAGATCCCACCCCCGCTGAGGTTGAGCCCAGGGACTGAGTGCTAAATCCATAGATTAGGGGCCTTAGTACTTACATTTAGCTATTAACAGAGCTGAGGGCAATAAAGGCTTATGATGTATTGAACAATTAGTAGATCATTCATATCATTGGTTAGATAGCTTTAATATTAATATTAAATCCATCCTCAATCTCAGTCTTGGTTAAATGTCTTTCATTTAAAGAAAAATTAAGTTTCTGACTGTTTTAACATTAAACAAAAATGCATACCCATAAAAAAACAATAAAGAACTGTGGGGATGGTTCAGTAAGTAGGGCACTTGCTGCACAAGCCTGACAGCACCAGTTCAGATCTCCAGAATCCATGCAAAAGCAGAACACAGACATCAGGCCTGTCATCTCAGACTCCTACCAGGAAATGGGAGCTGAGACAAGAGATCTGCCTAATTCCACAGGCCAGACTGAAATACACCGTGGGAGACAAACAAAAGAGACCCTTCCTCAAACAAAATACAAAGTAAGGGCTAACACCATGGCAGTGTGCAAATCACATGGCAGTGTGCAAACCCCAACAGAAATGCAGCAGCACATGGTACCCCATAAACATATACAAGTTTCATATTTTATGTATTGGTTTGAATTTTAAAATTCCAAATGAAAAGAGAGAAAGAAAAAGAAAGTCATTTTTCTAACCTGAGATATGAACACAGGTTAATATGGCAGTAGGGTGGATGGTCTTCCTGGGTTTAGGAAGAGAGACTTTATCTCTTCTCCCATCTTTCAAGTAGTAAAAAATCTATTTAGAAATAGGCAGGACTCACTGTGGCCATCCACCACGTCACTGTTCCTACTTACAACACAGTTGTTCTCTTTGTAAATAATAACCTATATAATAACCATGAATATGATAGATAAGGTAGCAAAACTATGTAATATGACCAAGGATTAGAGTTCTCAGGGTCCCTACACACAAAAGTATGGAGAAGGAATGAGAGATAGGAAAGCAGAATGAGGGGGAGGAATCTGGTCAAAATGGAGAGTTTCGAAACCTCTACTCAAATACTTGTTTTCAAACAGGTTTACCCAGAATTCCAACTTTGGCTCCTGCAGCCATTGGCTTTTAGTAAGGCCTGGCAAAAAATTAAATCCAGCTTAAGCAGAAAACCAACCAAAGAATCAAAGACTTTTCTCATCTCTGTGCCATGTACTGTGAGACAAAGAGGCAATTGGGGAAATGCATGAAATTGTCACCCTTCAACACTGAGAGCTAAGCAATCCTTTGTCTTTATTAAGATTAAAGGTATGAGCCAAAGTCAACAGCACCAGACCTGGGGGCACACAACTATAACCCCAGCGCCCAGGAGGCTAAAGCAGGAGGATCACAAGTTAGAGGCCATCCTGGGACGCAGAGTGAAATGCTGAATTAGACACAAAATAAAACAAAACAGAGATGAGTAGAAACGTGGGTAAAAATCAGAGGAGCAATTAACGATTCCTTTAATCAACTCATAAATCTGTGTTGAACTAATTCCTTACTTTATCACCAAAGTCCTTTGCTGTGCTTCTTAAATTTTGTCCCTACCATATATGTAACAGAACCTTTAGAATTTAGAATGTAATTTGGTTTCCACCAGATAGTGAGGAAATGTTACATTAAAGCAATAAATTGTTTTCCTCTGAATATAACATTAGATATTAACATACAAAGGTGACATGAAAACAATTATCCTTAACAACCATTCATTTTATAATATACTTTGAAAATATCTTAAGTTTGTATCAGGCTGAAAATTGGCAGTGAAGTTAAGATTGTCTATTAAACATATAGTACCCTAAAAAAGCTCTAACATTTTTCCTGTTTGTTTAATATATTATTGTCATCATCTGCCCATGCATGCTAGATATTAGCATAGGGCTTTTCCAACTTTTTAAATTCCATTACTTTAAAATATAAAGCTCTATGCCTGTGATATATTACTAATGCTAACAGATAAGATCACCCAATTATAAACTTCACTTTGCTCTTATTAATGTAGCAAATGAAGCCATGGAGTGAGTGAGATCTCATTTTGGATAAGGTCCCACTTCTTGTTAAATGTTGTTCTTTCAGAGCTGGGCATACATCATCATTGATGTAACAATAACAGATGTCTTATTTGTGGATTCCTCTCCTGTCTGCCTCACAGCAATGATTTTACTACTTGTGAAGGATTACAAAAAATTATGGGAGGATTTACATGAGGTCTCTGCAGTATTTATTTAGAAGTCAAGTATAATATTGTTTTTCCAAACCCATTAACCAACACAACTTAATCCTGACTCAAAAGACCTGCATTATTTTCCCCTTAGTCAGCCTGTGTGATTATGGTTTCAGAACCATTCGTCAATAAAAGTTGGGCTAGTCATGACAGCAGATGTGGAGTGGGGGTTAGAAGATTCAGTCTTCCTATTGTTCTGGAAACATCAAGATCCTATTTTGCGAGAGTAGCTAGCTCAAGGTTTTATAGTCTGTACGAACTGAGTCTGTTCGTTTTCAAACTGGTTGGACTTTCCATGGCAGTGGTCCTCAATCAAAGAGTTGGGAATCAGCTTGCTTTCAGGCTGAACTGAAGCTCTGTTGGTTTTTATGAATTAGTAGAGAATAAAGACAATAGACATTTTGAGAATATTCAGCACATTCTGGTCACTTCTCTTGTTCCTTAAATACTTACAGAGAAAGCCACAAAACCGGGCTTTAAACTTTGTAGTGTTGGGCAGTCCTACAGCTGTGTCCTCACTTACCATTGACAACACAATGCTCTGGATGGGAGAAATATCAGAGTTCAAGTGCGTAAGCAAAGAGTTGGGAATGCCTCTTAGGAAATAGTTTGTGGCCTTCTTACTATTTCAGGAATTGCCCACAAGACCAAGAATGCATTAGTGCAATAATCTAGTGTTGCTTACTTAAAGGATAGACCCAGACTTGGTAACTTCTTTTCCCCTACAAGCTGGATATAGAACCTGTGATATACTTTGTTTTTTAAATTCTTCTTTCATATATTGCATTATGACCACAGTTTCCCCTCCATCTACTCCTCTCAGTTCTTCCCTTTACCACTGTTCTTCCTTCAGAAAAGAGTAGGCTTCCCGGGGATATCAACGAACACGGTATAACAAGTTACAATAAGATTAGGCACATAACCTCATATCAAGGCTGGACAAGACAACCCAGTAGGCGGTAAAGGGTCCCAATAGCAGAAAAAGAATAGAGACATACCTCCATTCCTATTTTTAGGAGTCCCACAAGAACACCAAGTTACACAACTCTGACATATATTCAGAGGACCTACGTCAGATCCATACAAATTCCATAATTGTTACTTCAGTCTCTGTGAGTCCTCATGAGCCTTGATTATGTGGGCCATGTTCTTGTGGAATTCTTGACCCCTCTGGCTCCTACAGTACTTCCTCCCATCTTCCACAGTGTTCCTCAAGCTCTGCCTTGTTTTTGACTGTGGGTCTATTCTGTTCCCATCAATTGCTGGATGAAGCATCTCAGATGATAACTGGTCTTTGAGCATAGCAGAATATCAATGATAATAATTTCATGCCAGGTGGTGGTGGAACAAGCCTTTAATCCCAGCACTTGGGAAGCAGAGCCAGGTGGATCTCTGTGAGTTCAAGGTCAGTCTGGTCTACAGAACCAGTTGCAGGATAGCTAGGGCTGTTACATAGAGAACCCTTGTCTCAAAAAAGCAACAACGGAAAGAAAGAAAGAAAGAAAGAAAGAAAGAAAGAAAGAAAGAAAGAAAGAAAGAAAGGAAGGGAGGGAGGAAGATCTCATTGACTTTTTTTCCAGCTATGTTTGGTTCTATCCTAGGTCTCTGGGCTATCCAGCCTCTGGTTCTTGGCCATTCAGGCCTTGTCAGGTATGGGTTGCTTCTCATGGTATGGGTCTCAAGTTTGACCAGTCACTGGTTGGTCACTCTCACAAGTTCTGCATCACCTATAGGCAGGACAAATTTTAAGTTGAAGGGTTTGTGGCTCGGTTGGTGCTCCACTCCAGTCACTGAAAACCTTGCCTGGCTACAGAAGATGATTGGTTCAGGCTCTATATCTCCCATTACTAGGAGTCTTAGCTAGGGTCACCCCCATAGATTCCAGGGAGTTTCCATTGTAGTAGGTTTTCCACATTACCCTCAAAACGTCCCCTAATTCTAATCATCTCTCCCAGTACTCTCTCCCTCCATCTGTCTCCCTCCAACCTGATCCATCCTGTTTCTATCCACATTCACTCCCAGTCTACCCATGAGATCCATTCTATTTACCCTTCCCAGGAAGATCCATGCATCCCCCTTGAGTCTTCCTTGTTACCTAGCCTCTTGTGATCTGTAGATTGTTGCATGATTATCATGTATTTAACAGCTAATATCCACTTACAGATGAGTGCATACCATGTTTGTCTTTCTGGGTCTAAGTTACCTCACTGAGGTTGATTTTTTTTTTTACAGGTTAAGTCAATTTATTAAAATAGTTGACTTAGGCATCTGCAATAGTGACTTAAAACTCCATTCCTGGCTCAATACTGATGGAAGTGATCTGCTTGACAATCTCGGAAGGAATGTGTATATCAATCAGTAGCTTGTGGATTCTCATTGGAAAACAATCCCATGTCTTGGAACCTTCACCACAAGGTGTTTTTCTTGTAGTGATTCTCAGCGTTTTGGTAGGCATGTATACCAGTTCCTTGACTTTCAGATTATTTTCCTTTGCGCCTCTGATCAAGTCGACACACACCTTCTCCAGCGACTTGGCGTTGCAGCTGGTGAGCATGATTCATATTCGGTGAATCGCCGCCTCGGGTCCCATGGCCATCTTTCCGGCTGCGGCGTTGCGGCTTCCTGACCAACATGTTCCTTGGCGTTAGCGAACACCGGTGAGTCAGGACCGGGAACTCTGCAAATGCACCACCACGCCTCAGAAAGGCGAGGTTGATTTTTTTTTTATAGTTCCATCCATATGCCTGCAAGTATCCTGATGTCATTTTTTTAACAGCTGAGTAATACTCCATTGTGTAAATGTGTCACATTTCCTTTACCCACTCTTCTGTTAAGGGACATCTAAGTTGTTTCCAGTTCCTGGCTATTATGACTAAAACAGCTATGAACACAATTCAGTAAGTGTCCTTATGATAGACGGAAAATCCTTTGGGTATATACCCAGGAGTCGTATAGCTGGTTCTTAAGGTGCATTGATTCCCAGTTTTCTGCAGAACCACCATATTGACTTCCAAAGTGATTGTACAAGTTTGCACTCCCACCAACAATGGAGGAGCGTTCCCTTTGCTCCACATCCTATCCAGCATGAGCTGTCGCTTGTGTTTTTGTTCTTAGCCATTCTGACAGGTGTAAGATGGAATCTCAAAGACATTTTGGTTTGCATTTCCTTGATGGCTAAGGATGTTGAACACTTCTTCAAGTATTTCTCAACCACTTGAGATTCCTCTGTTGAAAATTCTCTGTGTAGATCTATACCCATTTTTAATTGGATTATTTGGCTTATTGATGTCTAGTTTCTTGAATTCTTTATACATTTTGGATATTAGCCATCTGTCAGATGTGGAATTCCTTTGCCTTGCAGAAGAAGCTTTTCAGTTTCATGAGGTCCCATTTATTAACTGGCAATCTTAGTATCTATGCAATCAGTGTTCTGGTCAGGAAGTTGTCTCCTGTGCCAAGGCATTCAAGGCTATTTTCCACTTTATCTTCTATCAGACTCAGTCTATCTGGTTTTATGTTTAGGTCTTTGATCCATTTGAACTTGAGTTTTGTGCAGGGTGATAGATATGTATCTATTTGCGTTATGCTACATGAAGACATCCATTTATGCTACATGAAGACACCACTTGTTTAAGATACTATCTTTTTTCCATTGTATATTTCTGGATTCTTCATCAAACATCATGTGTCTGTAGGTGCATGGATTTACATCTGGGTCGTTGATTCAATCCCACTGATTAACATTTTGTTTAAAACTTACTCTTGTTTTTATTTACGTCTGTGTGTATGTTACAAATGTGCTGATGTTCCCAGAGGCCAGAAGAAGGTGTGGGATTCCCTGGAGCACTATTTCTAGGTGGTGGTTGTAAGTCACTCAATCTAGGTCCTAGGAACTGAACTGTGGTCCTCTTGAAGAACAGCAAGTGCTCTTAACTACTGAGCCATCTCTCCAGCATCATAATACATCTAGTTTCATTCTCTTCTTAGAGCATTGAAGTCAGAGTCTAGTTAAAGAAGCACGCTTTCAGAAGAATTCATGAAGAGACAATGATCTCCTGGTGATGAAAATGAAAGCCAGACAAGGAACAGTGAAGCAAGCAGCAAAGAACCTTCCCATGTCCAAGGGGCAAGGGAGGGGCATCCCTGGAACTAAAACACCAGGGCTGTCTGGCATGACTTAAAGCTCCAGAAAAAAATCACCAGTGGGAACCAGGATGAGAAGAGAGCCATAGACTCAGAAAAATTTGGCTGCCACCAGAGGAGCAGTTTCCCAGCTCCAGCAGACTCAGGGTTAGTAGTGGACTGGCACTGTTGTTTTTGCCCATCTTCATAACCATCCCCATTGCCTCAAGCTTTCGTTACCATCTGAATTATCTCAAAAACATCTCCTCCTCAGCTAAGCAAAGTTTAATTAGGTTCTCCATTCTGTTATTACTGCTATTGGTATCTTCTATGCAGTGTCTGGGCAGAGATGAGACTTCTTAGCTAAGGAGATATAGCTTTGCTCACATACAAGATATTGTTTTTATTAGAGCCCTGACTATTGCTTGAGATTTAAAGTAGTCTGTCCGATGAGCTCTGTATGTTGCTTGTGTTTGCTTTGGTTTTTGTTTGTTTGCTTTTGTTATTTTGGGGGTTTTGTTTTGTTTTTTGAGACAGGGTTTCTCTGTGTAACAGCTCTGGCTATCCTGGAAATTTCTTTGTAGACCATGCTGCCCTTGAACTCAAGAGATTCACCTGCCTCTGCATCTCAAGTGCTGGCATTAAAGGTGTGTGCCACCACCGCCTGGCACTTTGTTCCATTTTTACAGAATTTTGAACTGTCCAGAAAAGCATGTATCACATTGTGGTAGGAGTCTCATAAGTAAAATATAACTTGGCATGGTGCAAAGTATTATAAGATGGGTGTAAGATTGATGTAGCCCTTTCATTCATTTGTGCATCTTTTACTAAATGTCTCTGCACTCAGCAAATTCAAATATAAGCTAGATATCTGGGAGAGACCTGTCCTGAAGAGTCTGCCTGCAGGACTGGAAAGAGATCATTGAAACTAAAGCAGTAATACTGTAATGGAGGTAATACCAGTACAATGAGGGTTTAGAGCAGAGGTTCTCAACCTATGGGTAGAGATCCATCCCCTTGCTATCAGATGACCCTTTCACAGGGGTTGCATGTCAGATATTTACATTATGATTCATCACAGTAGCAAAATTACATTCACCACAACATGAGGAAGTGTATTCAAGGGTCATAGCATTAGGAAGATTGAGAACTGGTTTAGAGCAAGGCAAGCATGCCTTTAAGGTTTTAGTAAGAAGTGATAGTAGTATAATCTTGAACAATGTGTTTGCCAACTAGCAGAGCAGAAAAGAAGCATTTTTATTTGATAATTCTATATATCAATCCTAGTTCCCTCTCCCTACCATCCTCCCATGCCCCCAACCCCCACCCCATCCACTCACCAGGAAGGGTGAGGCCTTCCATGGAGGAATCATCAAAGTCTGTCACATCATTTAGGGGAGGGCCTAGGCCTTCCTCTGTGTATCTGGGCTGAGATAGTATCCCTCCAAGGGGAATGGGCTCCCAAAGTCCATTTTGTGTACTAGGGATAAATACTAGTTCCACTCTCAGAGGTCCCATAGATTGCCCAGGCCTCCTAACTGGCACTCACATTCAGCGGGCTTGGTTCGGTCCAATGCTGGTTCCCCAGCTTTATGACTGGGGTCCCTGTGCTCTCACTTGGTCAAGTCAGCTGTTTCTGTGGGTTTCTCCAGAACATCTTGAGCATAGAAAATGATGCAGTAATTAGTATAATCAACTAATAGGAGAGTTTAGGTGAGCACTTAGGAATGCAGCCAGTACAGAGAATCCGCAGAGAAAACAACTAGAACCACTGTTTACTGGTCAAGTGAACTGCTCCCTCACCACAGAGGCCTGGTAGACCAAAAGAATTACAGACTGTCCTGTGAGCCACTGACTCCTGCTGAGTTCTTCAAGAATAAGTACCTTGATGAGAATTGTTCAGGATGATCATACTGGTGTCTCTGTGAAGAGTGTTTGAGAGGTTGAAGACAAATGCCTGGATGATCTGGTGGGAAGCTGTGCATTAACAAAATGATAAGGGTCTCTGGGTGGTGGTGGTGCACGCCTTTAATCCCAGCACTCGGGAGGCAGAGGCAGGCGGATCTCTGTGAGTTTGAGACCAGCCTGGTCTACAGAGTAAATTCCAGGACAGCCTCCAAAGCCACAGAGAAACCTTGTCTCAAAAACAAACAAACAAACAAACAAAAAAATGATAAGGGTCTAAACCAGTGGTCATGAGGTTGACAAAAAGGGACTTTAGCCAAAGGACACTTCTAAGGGAGAACTGACATGTCTGATGATCAGTTGGACATGAACAATAAAGAACCTAAGTCAAGGATGACATTCCGAGTTCTAGCAAAGGCAATAAGAGATACTGAAATGTGGTTAACTGAGATGCACAATGCCATAGGAGAATTCTGGCTTTAAGGTAAAGACAATAGGTTTAGCACCTCTATTTTTCACAACATCAGGCTTACTTCACAAGTGGACATGGTGCTTCCATTTCTGCCAGACAGTTATAACCATTTGCCAGGGAAATCCATGGGCAGACGCTATTTAATTATTTGGTTTGTATAGTGTAGCCAATAATAGGTAATCCAATCTCCTAATGTATCAAGCATGTTTTGCTAACCATTGCTTGTAAAGAGCTCAAGTTCAAATCTGCACTCTCAATATTAAAACATATCATTAACAGCAACAATGTACTTTCATTCTAGAGAGCATCTGTCTGGTTTGGGAAGCGTGTAATAGGAAGATTGGGAAGAAAACAGTAAAATTCTAGGGGCGGGGGTGCGGGATGTTATAACCAGTGGCAGAGACATGCTTCCAGTGTACATAAAGAAGGCAATACACACCCCTGAATTAATAGGAATATATATTCTAATTAATTGACAGCAAGAGCTGTTGATAGAATGAAAGAATGGGTCTCCAGCTCCCCAAGCAAACACCCAGACACAGCTAGATAAATTGCTGGGACTCTGTCTATATAATATATGGAGCAGCCCCACAGTAATCAGCCTATGTTCCCCTGCCCTCCATCTGTTATCGTAGATTTGGGCTTCTTTTTCATACTTACAGCGAGCAAGCACATAAGAGGAAATCCAGAGGTGGGAATTAGAACAAAGAGAAAACTAAAAATTCAAAAGGACTACTTCAATTCAGATAAAATGGCCAACACATCACACACTTGAGCCTGTTACTTTTTCTAAAATCAAAAATGATGTTGTTTTGTTGCTTTGCATGTTCCAGAAGTGAAGGGTTATTTTGTACATTGTCTTATCAAGCACCCCTCCCTGTGACCAAAGCACATCATATGTAGGGATTAGGACTAGAAATATGATCTTAGTGTTACTAAATGCATACACCACTTTGCCTAACCAGGAGATTTTTTTCAGATTATAAATAGGTTGGCAGTACAGTTCAATGATGGAGCACACGCCTAGCATGCACAAGGCCCTGAGTTCTATTCTC